ACATGGGGTTTCACTATATTGGTCAGGCTGGTCTTGAACTTCCAGCCTCAGGTGATCAGCCCACCTTGGCCTCCCAAAGTTCTGGGATTACAGGCGTGAGCCACCGTGCACCAGCGAGCCTTCAGGTTTTGGTAGCACTTATATAACACATCCACTGGCCGAATTCATCTGCAAGCGGCAGGGTCTGGCTACCATCCTTAATCAAACCTGATTTGAATCTGTCTTTGAGAGGGAAATTTGGACTTGGCTGATGATCAGATAAGTTAAGATTTGGGCCGGGACTGTGGTGAATTCTGGGATGAGGCTGCAAACTCACTGTTGGGCTTTTGTAACAAAGAAGCCAGCATTGCTGTTGTAGTACAGTGCATCTGAGAGTCAGGCGGGTTGGGGTGCTGCTTTTCTGGGGACGTAGCAGCCCCCCTCTTCCTTCTCATTGGACTTGCTCTGTCATCTCACAGAGCTGAGTGTTCTGATCATGACCCTGTGGTTAGGATCAACGCTGTTCAGTGTATTTCTCGCCTCTGTATCTTCCTCATTTCTTCTCTTGGACCCCTTACCCCCACACAAATGATCTGCACCTCAGTGACAGTGTGGTGCAGCTCCACAGAAGATGGACGATACACACTTGTGCTGTTGCTCATGTTTTATGGTTAACTGCCTGGAGTTCTTTTCATAGCAATTGAAGGCTGAAGGGCACACAGAAATCACCAGCTCAATTCTGTCAACAATTGCTGAGTGTCCTTTTTCTGTTAGGCCCTGGGAGCTGGAGATTATCTCACGCAAATATATGGGGAGAAAATACGTGTTTTCTAGATTCTTGCTATTCAGAATGAGGTCTTTGAGGCTGGGCAGGGTGGCTCCGCCTGTAATTCCAGCCCTTTGGCAGGCCGAGGTGGGCGGATCACCTGAGGTCAGGAGTTCAAGACTGGCCTGGCCAGCATGGTGCAACCCTGTCTCTGCTAGAAGTACAAAAATTAGCCAGGTGTGATGTCTTGTGCCTGTAATCTCAGCTACTCCAGATTCCGAGGCAGGAGAATTGCTTAAACCGAGGTGGTGGAGGTTGCAGTGAGCTGAGAACATGCCAGTGTACTCCAGCCTGGGCGACAGAGTGAGACTCCGGTTTAAAAAAAAAATCTCTGGACCAGCAGCAGAGGCCTTGTTACCTAGGTGAATGTTAGAGATGCAGGATGTTGCTGGACTGGCTCACGCCTGTAGTCTCAGCACTTCGAGAGGCTGAGGTAGGAGGATCACTTCAGCCCAGGAATTCAAGATCAGACGGGGCAACACAGTGAGACCCTGTCAGGAAACGAAAAAAAGAATTGCAGAATGTCAGGCCCCACCCCAGACCTTACTGTCTCTGAGTCTGCACTTTAACAAAGCCCCCAGCTGAGCTGTAGACACAGTAGTGTTAGAGGTACTGGAATGTTCTCAGTCTCTGTAGAGAGGTGGAGGACAGATATTGGCATGTTACTGCTATTCTCCCTTCTACACCCATGGGAGGAGTTGTTAATCAAACAGGATACCTTTCCCCAGTGATTCCTGTCTAAACGTCCAAACCTTTCTCAGCACAGTGTTATAGATGTTTGCCTGAGCAGGTACTCGAGGTCAAGTTGAGCTGCTTTACCTTCTCTCCAGCACAGACCCTGACAGCAGCAGTATCCTGTGTGCTCTCTGCCTCCACTCTGGCCCCTCTTCCTCCATTCTTCACAACACAGAGTTTTCTTTTAAAAATACAAATATGCTCAGGATATTTTCCTGCTTAAAACCCTTCAGTGACTTCCCATTGCAATTAAAATGAAATCCAGATGCCTTACCATGACCTTCCCGACCCTGCCTGACTTGGCCCTGCCCACCTTTCCAACCCTGTCTGGTGCGCCGCTCCCTTCCTATGCTATTCTTTGCCTGTGTCATCTCATTTCAGTTCCTGGAACATGACATGCTTTTCTGGCCTGAGGGCTGGGCAGACTTAAGTCCCTGTCTCTTGAGTCTCCCCACTGTTCATGTGAAAAACCTAGGGGCACAGAGACTTGATCTGCCTGAGGCCACGTGGGGAGTTAAGAGCCGGAGGAACTTCATTGCAAAGCTGGAGATGTGGGGTAGCCTGCCTCCCCGCTGTGACCACACGAGGGCGCCTCCATCGAGTCTTCTGACTCCTGCTGATCTTTGTAAGTGCACCTTTCTCCTCAACTTGTAAGTGCCTTACAGAGGTAGCTCGCCCTCATTCCTTAGCATGGACGTTGGACTTGCCACCTCCTCAGAGAGCCATTCTATGGCCTTTCTGCCAGAACATCCCCCACCCGCTTCAGTATTCCAGCTGTGTTCTCTGGGGCACTTGTCACAGTTTGCATTGGGTCTTACTTATCAGTGGTTTGACTTGTTTTCAGTTTTTCCACTAGTCTGTAAGCTCTCTGGTGGCAGGATTCCTGTTTGTGTTATTGGCCTCCATACCTAAAGCACCAGCATAGTACCTGGCACGTAGTAGGTGTTCAGTAAATATGATCTGGATGTGTTCATGAATCAGTGATGGAGGTGGTGAGAATACTCCTAGGATTTTAGGCCTAGTCAGGATCTAAATGCACATCTAACTGATTTCCACCTCGTATATGTGGTGAAGCCAAGAAGGAGAGTGGTTTCATGTCCCTGATGTCAAATGGCCAGTTGGACCAAGCATGAGTTTTTGCCAATGTAGAGATACTTTTGTGACTTAGCTCCAGTGGACCATATCAAACGGCCCCAAATAAACATTCTTCCTACCATTTTTCATCCTTTAAAATTCCCTTTGAAGAATTTTTTTTTTAAAGACTGTCACGTGATATTCTAAAAAAAAAAAAAAAAAAAAGGAAGATACTTCATGTGTTCTTCAGAGATCTACCGTCAAAGGGGTTTACCTCGCGCTTGGAGTAGGGTAGAAGGTTGCTGTTCTTTGGGTCGTTTTGCCTTCAGCCAAGTCAAAAGGGATGAACTGAGCTGGCGCTGAGGTTACTGCTGCTGTCCTACTTGTACTAGTCAACTGTGCTTGCACCTAGGTGGCTCAGGCAGGTCAGTTCTGTTTCATACTGGTCTGGTTGGACTTACTAGGTAATTCAGAGGAACTGGTTTCATTCTTTCTAGGACAGGGTTCAGCAAACTTTTTCTATAAAAGGCCGGATAGTAAATATTTTTGGCTTTGGTGGCCAGATGGGTCTCTGTTATAACTATTCAGTCCTGCTGTTGCAGCAGCCAGAGACATGTGTAAATGCATGGGTTTGGCTGTATGCCAATAAAATTTTATTTACAAAAACTTCTGTGAGCCCAGATTTAGCCTCAGGGTCATAGTTGGTACACTCCTGTTCTAGGAGTGTTTAAACAAAGAAAATGTAAAAGACAGCTTTCATTAGTTGTCGAAATTTGCTTGCAAACTGTCCAGAAAGATGGCGCCTTAAGCTGATCTTTAGACTCAGGAACTTGTTCTTAAACTTGAGAAATATCACTGTGTCTGACTTCCTGTTTGAGCAGAGTAATTACAACCATGATTTATCAGTAGCAGAAAATAGCCTGTAGTTTTCAAATAGACAATCACATTCTCTTCATTAGCAGCCCATCTGCTGGGCCCGCAGTAGTACTGAGGAAAGGTGCCTTGGTAAACAGTAGCAGGATTGCAAAGTCCAACTAACCCTCTTGCTTTAGTGACAGCTTGTTTGTGGAAACTGGACCATTCTGCAAATGAGTTCATCAGTCTTGCCTAAATACTGGAAGGACCTGTTCAACATTAGGGGAAATGCCAATGTATTTTGAGACAGATCAAACAAAGCTGCAAGTAGACAAATTTTAGCATTTGTTTTTTAACTAATGAGCAGATGGTAGGCCTTGAATGCCCCAAATGCTTATCTTTGAGTTAGGTTGCGGAGAAAATAGGGAAACCAAATCCAAAGTGAATACATTAATACCACTCCATCATCTAGAAACGATTTGGGCTGCAAGCTGCAGTTGTGACTCTTAAGAATAATTTTTTTCCCTTGTAATAGTTGTATTTATTTATTTATTGAGACGGACTCTCTATTGCCCAGGGAGGAGTGCAGTGGCATGATCTCAGTTCACTGCAGCTTCTACCTCCCAGGTTCAAATGATTCTCCGGCCTCAGCCTCCCGCATAGCTGGGACTATAGGCATGCACCACCATGCCTTGCTAATTTTCATGTTTTTTATTACAGATGGGATTTCACCATGTTGGCCATGCCGGTCTCGATCTCGTGACCTCAGGTGATCCTTTCACCTAGGCCTCCCAAAGTGCTGGGATTACAGATGTGAACCACTGTACCATGCTGGTAACAAGTCATTTAAAGGTTCAACTGTCTGATTAGGAAACGAGGGCACAAGTTGATTAAATAGGATGCAAAGGTCCCTGGATTGGATTCTAAAACAGTCCCTTTCTACCATACCATCCCAGCTCACTAGAAAAAATGAGGAAACAGAACTTCCTTTAAAAGACTTTCCCCCTCTGTAGACACTTTCTTAAAAACATAGTAGAGCCTGGGCTCACTCCTGTAATCCCAGTGCTTTGGGAGGCCGAGGAGGGCAAATCACGAGGTCAGGAGATCAAGACCATCCTGGCCAACATGGTGAAACCCCCTCTGTACTTAAAAAACCAAAAATTATCTGGGTGTGGTGGTGCGCGCCTGTAGTCCCAGCTACTTGGGAGGCTGAGCCAGGAGAATGGCTTCAATCCGGGAGGCAGCGATTGCAGTGAGCTGAGATTGTGTCACTGCACTCTAGCCTGGCAACAGATCGAGACTTTGTCTCAAAAAATGAAACAAAATAAAAAAACAAAACGTAAACTCCTGCTGTGCATACAGTGTTGTATATTGTTTTTTTTCTCACTTTATTGTCTATCTCAAAGCCTCTTCTATCATTTATGTGGATTGCATTGCCCTAATTTGTAACAATTGTGTGATATTCCAGCTAGAGGACAGACCATAGTTCTAGTCAATTCCAAATTGTTGGACCTTCCCCCTCTACCGCCAGCTTAAATAGCTGTTAATTGGCAGTGTGCTGGAAAGGGTGATGGAGTTAGCATTCACAGACGACACCGCACACCACTGTGATGAGGAAGGCAAGAGCATGGGCAAGCCAGCCTGGAGCCCCGGAGTAGGAGGCCCCCTCTTCAAGAGAATGTGGGAGGGGGTGGGGCCTGGAGTGTTGGGGGCAGCCTGGGAACACCTCCACTTAGTAGGCATGGTTAGAGATGAAGAAGGACTTGCTGGCAGCAGCCCCTGTCTGACTGGTTGGGGTGTACTTTCCTTGACAGGCGAAGCTGTTGGCCAGGGCGTGCTTTATGTACTCCTCCTGCGCCGCCGCCTTGTTTTTCTTCCTGCCCCAGGCTACAGGGCAGAGGCCTGCAGGACTCGGCCCTAGGAGAAGGTAAGGGCCTCATGCTTCAGCAGGGGGCACTTGTTAATGGCACTGAGGTTGATGGATGCCTTCTCACTCTGGCCTCCAGAAAGGAAGGTGATCCCAAGGACAGCTCGGGGAACTGAGCGCGCGCAGTGCTGTGACAGTTGCCATGGCAATCTTCTCGTGAGAAAACTTCTGAGTGGGGATGTGGCCTGGTGTAACCATGTTGGGCTTTGGGGCAAGGTGCCTTCCAGGTAGACGTGGTGGTCTCTCAGAGCCTTGTAGACAGCAGCCAGCACCATCTCGGTCACATACTGACAGCGCTTCAAGTCATGGTCCCCATCAGGGAGGATTTCAGGCTCCACGATGGGCACAATGCCATTCTGCTGGTAGATGCTGGCATAACAGGCCAGGACGTTGGCATTTTCCATGATGGCGAGGATTGAGGGGGTGTGTTCCCCAGTCATCAGCACACAACGCCACTTGGTAAAGTCAGCACCGTTTGTCTTGTACTGGGCACAGCGTTCAGACAGCCCATCCAGCCCTTGGGTGGTGGTCTTACATTTGTCCCTGCCAGGGGGACCACACTCTTGTCTACCTTGATGTCCACAACACTGCCCTTGGATTTGGTAACTTGGGGGAAGGGACATCCATCATCCCCCTTCTGGTAGAGTGTCTTGTGGAAGAGAATGACGCCCCCGATGCAGGGGTCATGCGGTTCTCAGCTCTCAGCAGCAGCTGGTGGTAGAAGCACCACTTCTCCTCAGTGTTCTTGGTGCCAATGGACTGCAGCTGCTTGGCAGTGCTCCCAGTGGACTCATCTGCAGCCAGGATGCCCTTGCCCAGGGCCACGATGCAGTGAGCAATGTCAGACAGCTCCTTTTTCTACTCGGGGGTCAGTGCTGGATATTGGTAGGGTGTGGTGCTGGTGGTAGCAAGTTCCAGATCTTCAAAGAAAATTTCTTCCTTAGAAATCCAGACAGAGGCCCTTGGTTGTCAAGAGAAATAAATGTCTGGCCAGGGATCTGTCGGAGGGAAAGGGGTGAGTGGCAGGCCTTTTTAAAAAAAAAACTGTTACTATCCTGCAAAATGCTGCAGGGGGTGCTTTTTGTGTACAGAATTTCCCTACATTTGTAGTTATTTTGGAGGATGTGGTCTGGTAAGCTGAATTGCCGAATGAAGTGCTAAGGTATTTTGGACTTCTATTTCGGATTTCCATGTTGCTCCCCTGGACTGTGTCCATTTGAAAGTGTCACCAGCAAGCAGGACCTGTTGGCCACTCTCACCAGCATTCATGGTTGTTGCCATTAGAACTCCTGTAGGCAAAAACTTGGCTGGTTATATTTGTAATTCATAAGTTGCTATGGAGATAAAATACGTTTTTCCTGTGTTTATAAATCAGATTTCTTTTTGGTCAATTGTCAGCCCATTTTCTTGGCCTGTATATTTCAAGGATTTTTCCTCTGGGCTGTGTGAGGGCTTGGTATCAATAAAGATGCTTGCCCTTTGTTTTAATGGGTTCGCAAGTTCTCGTGTCTGGGAGTAGTCATGAACCTTTCTGGTTGTGTGCCCCTGTTTAGGTTTTTAGCAGTTGTTCTGATTTAGGCACTTGGTGGACAGCCCATATTTTGAGGATGATACCTACAAGTCTTTGTTTGAGGACATTTTAAAGATCTTGTGGACATTAAAGGAGAAGATGCACTTGTAAGCCATGTTAGTAGATGTGGTTTAAGTGCTCAAGTTGGCTGGAAAGGTGGCTCACACCTGTAACCCCAGCACTTTGGGAAGCTGAGGAGGGAGGATCACTTGAGTCCAGGAGTTTGAGACCAGCCTCACCAACATGGTGGAACCCTCTCTATATGAAAAATAGAAAAATTAGCTGGATATGGTGACATGCACCTGTAATACCAGATACTTGGGAGGCTGAGGCATGAGAATTCTTTGAACTCAGGAGGTCAAGGTTGCAGTGAGCCAAGGTTGCACCACTATACTCCAGGGTGGGTGACAGAGTGAGACTCGGTCTCAGACAAACAAAGAAACAAATAAATGTTTGAATCATGGTTTATGTTTCCTTTGGTAAACAAAAGAAGAGTTTTCATTTTTAATCTTTCGTGGGCTTCATGGTGGAGTAGTGGAAGCGTTGGGGTCTGGCTATTCATGAGAGTGTGATTCTCCCCAAAGCCAACAAGGACCTTTTCTTTTCCTTTTTGAGACAGGGTTTCACTCTGTCACCCAGGATGGCTGCAGCCTAGGAGGTGACTTTGGGGAGAAAATGTCCCCGTGAGGGAGGTGGAAACGAGATGACACACAGAAGTCAGCACAGATTGGTCCTTCTGAATATGATCCTGTGGAGACACCTCTGTGCTCACTTGCAGCCTCAGCACTCAGTTCACAGCTCACCCAGTGTGGGCTTGGAGGGGCATGGAGGCTGGTAGGGGGAGATGGTCTACCCTGAGCTTGCCCTCTCATGCCCCAGCCTGGCAAGTTGTAGTCTTGGGAGATTGAAACCCTGATCCTCACATTCAAGTCACTACAGTTCTGGATGAGAAATGGAGGAGCAGCTTGGTTTGCTGGAAATGCCTCCTCCTTCTTTGTCTTCGTCTTCCTATGCCTCCTCCTCCCCACTTCTTCTCCTTCTTCCTCCCTCCTCCCTGAAAAAACATGGAGTCAATCCAGGTAGCCGTCAGTGGTAGACTGGGTAAAGAATATGCGGTACATATTCACTGTGGAATACTATACAGCCATACAAAGAAATTGTGTCCTTTGCAGCAATATGAATGTGGCTGCAGGCCATTATTCTAAGCAAATTAGTGCCCTGCCAGGAAACCAGATATTGCATGTTCTCATTTACAAGTGGGAGCTAAACACTGGGTACTCCTGGACATAAAGATGCTAACAGTAGACACTGAGGAGCTACTAGCAGGGGAGGAAGAGAGGAGCAGGGGTTGAAAAACTACCAGTTGGGTACTAAGCTTACTACCCAGGTGATGAGATCATTTATACCCCAAACCTCAGCTAATGCAGTATACCCATGTAACAAACCTGCACGTGTACCCCCAAATCTAAAATGAAAGGTGAAAAAAAAATACATACAAATATATCTCATTTATTGAGATATAATACACAGGCCATACAATTCACCTATTTAATGCATGATTTGGCGATTTTTTTAATACATTCATAAAGTTGTGCCTCCCAAGTCCCAGCCTGGCAAGTTGTAGTCTTGGGAGATTGTGTGTCTCCACAATCCATTTTAGAGCATTTTCGCTCCCTCACAAAGACCCCATTTCTGTGTGTACTCACTCTCCAGACCCCAGGGCCTGGCAAGCCCCATTCTGCTTTCTGTCCCTGTGGATGTGCCTTTTCTGAACACTTCTTATCAGGGGAGTCATACAGTGCGTGGTGGTTTGTGATAACTTTGTTTCACTTAGCATAAATTTTTCAAGATTTATCTACATTGAAGCATGAATCAGGATGGCATACTTTTTATGGCTAAAAAACATTTGACTCTAAGGATATGCCACATTTTGTTTACCCTTTCATTAGTCAACGAGTTTCACTTTGTGGTTATTATAAATAATGTTGCAATGAACATTTGTGTACAAGCTGTGTGGACATGTTTTTCATTTCTCTTGGGCATAGACCTAGGAGCGGAATTGCTGGGTCAAAGCGGCTGTACCTTCCCACCTGCAGTGAATGAAGCTTCCGATTATTCTGATGTATCCTCACCAAACATTTGTTATTGTCTGCCTTTTTTTATTGTAGACATCCGAGTGGATGTGAAGTGGTGTCTTCACATTTGCCAATCAGTGGTTTAGATCTGCATTTCCCTGATGGTTGATGGTGTTGAGTATCTTTTCATGGACTTACTGGGCATTTATAAATATTCAAAAGATGTATTTTCGTGTCTTTTGTCCATTGCTTAATTTGTTTAGTTGTCTTTTTTTATTGTTGAGTTGTATGAGTTCTTTGTGTATTATGGATATTAGACCCTTATCAGGGATATGTGATTTATATACGTTTTTTTTTTTTCCCCATTCAGTGAGTTTCGTTTTCTTGATGGTGTCCTTAAAGCATACGTTTTTAATTTTGTTGAAATTGAATTCATCTGTTTTTTCTTTAGTCATGTGTACTGTTGGCATCTTACCCAAGTTTGTTTTTAAACCAGTGTTTCTGTTAATTTTATGCCTGAAAATGATTTGCTGTTAGAGATTAAATGCTGTTGGTTTCAGGCCAGCGGTTCTGGGGGTCGTTGGATGGAGAGTTGTTCATTCCCCGCTGAGTAGATGGATGATGGGTTCACGACTTCCTGTTTGGTTCTCAGCTCCCTACCTTAAATGTGGCTCTCATTCCTTCCGCGTATTTCTCTCTCTTCCTCTGCCTCCTCCTTCTCTTCCCCTGAGTGTGTGTATGTCTACTTCTCTCCCTCATTTCTTCCTTCCTCCTTTGCCTCTCTTTCCTTCTCTCTCTGTCTACGGTTTGGTCACTTTGTCTTGAAATCGCTCTGTGTCCTGCCCTAATTTTGTCTCTTTTTTCATTTTTCTTTAATGTTTTCTTCTAAGCTGTTTACCTTATCAGATGACCTTTGCAGTCCGTCGGAAACAGGCTCACTTGCTCATTCTTTCTTTCCTTTGTCTCTCTCTGATTGTCCCTGGTGTTGAGTAAGTTTAGGGAAGACAAGCACAAACTGTCGAGTTCCCCTTCACCAGCGTGCCCCAGAGTTGGCAGAAGTCACTCAGAGACCAGCTAGTGCCAGACATCCTGCAGTGCTCATGTTTCTAACTTGCTGTGTGAGGCTGTCTCCCGGGCTTGCAGTACTTAATTTGAAATTTGATTAGGAAGCTGCAATGATCCATTTTCACATTCAGAGGTACATTTTTGGCATGTCGGATGGGAGCAGTGCAGGCAGATTTTTTTTCCGTGCACTACTGCTCGAGTTTGTCAGGAGTTTTATTATGGAAATCACTATTTCTGCTTTCCATTTTCCCAAGTTACTTTTCTGTATTGATACATTTTCACCTGTGTAACACTGGGATATTTTTCAGGGTTCTTGCTTTTCGACTCAGTAGCAAGACTCAAAATAACAAGGAGGAAAGAAATGAAAAAAACTTCTGGGTAAAAAAAGATTTGCATCCACATTTCCCTTCATTGAAAGGAAACTTCATCCGTGTTTTGAACAGAAAACTTAAACATAATAAAAAGTGGATGAAAGCATGGGTTGTAAATTGGATGTGTGTGTGTATGCATGTGTGCTTGGGGTGTAGATTCTGACATAAAAATGACAGTTCTTTTGGCAGTGTATGGAAAATCTAGGAAACTGAATGGTAACAGATAAAGATTCAGAAATAAATAGCAATTTAGGGATTACTGGAAAAGTACAATTTTCTGTTTTTGTAGGACTTCTTTCTGCTAGAATCGAGGGGCAGAATAAATGTTACTTAAAACTTTCCTCTTTCTCTCTCTCTCTCTCTGTCTCCCTGTCTCTGTCTCTGTCTC